AGAGAGAGAGAGAGAGAGAGAGAGAGAGAGAGAGAGAGAGATGAAAGCTAAAGGTGAAACCTCGTGTAGGTCTAAGAATGGTAACGCATGATGGTGAACAGTTTGGATGATAAGTATGTGGGACTGATCACAGCATCGGGGGATTAAGTGGATTCTCATCTAACGGACGGTGTTGTAGGGGAACAAAACAAACAAACAGACGAGCTGACATGGAGAGACTTACTACAAACTGGTAGTGTGTTGAGGTCTCCATCAGGTGCTGGATGAAAGGATGCTGAGATAGAACGGAGAAGGGGGCGCAGTCGTCAGGCTTGTAGTCCAGCTCTCTGAACACACGCACCAGTTGCTAGAGGCCAGCAGAGATCAAGAGTGTTACCATGAGTTTCATTTTAATAATGTGGTTAAGAATTCTGCTTGGATTGTATAGTATACTGGGGGGTTCGGTATTTTTTTTGTCTAATTTATTTTCTATTAGTTATGCAAATGAAAGTGTGGACTGTCCCTTTAAAACACCCACTGCTGTAATACAAGTCTGGGAAGTGACCTTTTAATCATGAAACCCATAAAGATTTGCTCGTCAGCCTTATCAGTTGTTTAACTAGAAGAAGTTTAACTAGAAGAAAGGCCATGCCTTTATATGCACACTGATGTAAAGATGTAAAGAATGAAGGCATAATAGGAAACAAAAAACCTGGCTGAGGACAAATTAATTATGCTGACCTGAAGATTAAATCTTACATGTTTACTACATTTAGTCAACAATTTATTTCCTTATAGTGAATTCAAACCTTTTCATTTATGTATTTCCTTAAACTTTGAACGTTCACAGGGCTTTTACCTCAGTGTGCTCCTCCTGACTCAGGCAGCCTGGAGGAAGAGGGCTGCCGTCTCTCATCGTGGTGACTTTGTGGCAGATGACAGCAAGGAGAGCAGGGATGGACACCTCCGTCTCCCACAACGAACCGCTTGATGCGCACGGAGTGTCTTCTTCCTTGTAGTCTCCATCGAGTTCTGAGGCGCTGAGCTCGGCAGCCTCTTCTATGCTGGCCATAGACTGTACACAACATTACAACATTAACACTCGCATGTTTCATTTCAAAACGAATGACAAACTACTGGGAAAACCTGACACATGCTGTTACAGAATCTTTGTTGGCATTATAAATCCCACCACCTGTCTTCTTTTATAACCCAGAACCATCTGAAGACATTGGTGACAGAATATATGATCATGTTTTGATGACAGGAGATGAAGAAGTGGAAGTTTCATTCACTTCTCTTTGGAGATTACTTTACTCACCTTGACAAGGTGGTCCGGGGAGGAGTACTTGAGATGCTGTCCCAGCACAACACTAAGTGCTCTGATGAAGCCCTGTCTGGGGTTAGGGTCGGCCGCAAAGTACTGCAGCATGCAAACGTAATCCAGTCGGGGGGGAGAGAAAGAGCGGTCCGCAAACAACTGGAAAAAGAACTGAGAAGGAAGGACGGGGGCAAATGTTACTGGTCATTTATTTTATTTAGTACTTGCAGTGCGGTTCATTTGGAAGATGTTAATGTTTGACCCCTTTGATGGCATTGTGATGACGGTATCCTCTATAAGTCTGTGTTTTCAATTCATTTCTGTTTTATAATTGAAAATATCTGAAAAGTCCTCTCATAGTAATAGTTAAAAGAGTTGGGTGATGCTTTTTTATGTTCTTTCGTGTCTCTTTTGTCTTTGTTCAATTGTTTTTATGCCTTTTAAATCGTTTGTGTACCATGACCTTGATTTTCCATTTCAGGAGTAATGAAAGTTTACATTGGAATTGAGTTACCTTGCGTAGGTTAGCCAGACGGTCATAAGGAGGAGGCTCAGAGGGGTCCTCTGGGACGGGCTGGACACTATCATTGGAAAACCACAATTCTGTCTGTCGAGAAAGGAGTCAAGAGGAGCAACTTAAACATTTGTTTTTACGTCTAGGAAGCTACAGTTTCCACTTTATACTATATAAAGTGTACAATATACACTAAATGTGTTGTCCGTTGACTTGAACCCAGGCCTGCTTGTAGAAAGAGGGTCTCAGTGCATGATAATGCCACAAGAGCAAAGAGGGGCGGTGAGAGTGGATAGACAGCTTAAAGATACAGGTTTATCCAAAGTTGGACTTTTTTTGTGATTTAAAACACAGTTTGAGTGTCTGACCAGAGAATTAGAATTTATAGTGACGGTAGAGACCTGTAGGTACTGTTCCTCGTTAACATAGCCTGTGTCGCCAGTATCTGCTGCCTTGAAATGTTGCAGCACGACTAGCAGCTGTGATAAGGAGGGAAGCGGCCAAGGGAGGGCAGCACTGAGCAGAAACTGACGCCAGTCTATCAACTCATAGGCGTCGGTCAGGAGGGATACAACTTCCAACAACTGGGGACAGAAGAGAAAAAGGACAATGCTCCTGTAAGCCATGCAATGTTTCTTTCATGGTAACCGGACAGTGTGGTGCAAGAATGTTTGTGTGTTCCTTTGCTTTCTCTGCAATGTGGTGCTTTAAGGCGAAGACAAAATTACTCTACTTTGTGTTTTAAGTTGCCGGAATACAGTGCTGAAAGAGTACCTGTGCTTCATTGTTGTTAATCCAGAGCTCAGGCAAGATGTTTCTGCCCATGTTTACAGAGATGATATCCATGAGCAAACTAAAGAAATCAGCACTGGACATAAGGCCTGCAAGTCAGAAAGGAAGGAAAAAGATCATTGGATAGCTGGATTAATAGACCCAATAACATTGCAACTTGTCTCCCGTGTATTAACCTGATGGAGCGAAGTCGCATAGCTGTCGCTGCAGCGACTCTAGCTGAGTGATGGTCGGCGTGGACCTTGTGGGTTTCTCCAGAGGAGGTGGACGGGAAGGCAGAGCCGGGCTGGCCACCATGTGGCAGTCTCCATTCAAGTAGAAGTCAGTACATTGCTGGAGAAGAGAATTTAGGGAATCTTAAAATGGGAGGAGTGAGTTAAAGGAGACTGTGGTCACATGCTGGAAGAACATTCAACATTCAACATTCAACATCCGGCTACCAGTGAGCACTACATTATACAGTACCCACCTGGGTTAGATACTAAAAAAAAAAATCAATACAATTAAAAGGTTGTTGCGTACCAACACCAGCTCGTTCTGCAACTCAGCACCAGCGCCTATGTGGTGGCCGACCACTTCTGCCAGTTGGTCAATACTAGAGAAAAGGAGACAGGCACAGATAAAACGTCATACATGTCGTCAATGTATAGTTAGGGACTGAAACTGTTGTTCACAAGCGCTGTGTGTTTTAATGTTATTTTATATAACAGTTTCTGCAAGAGCACATAAAGGGCTGTCATGAATTTAGAAATCTTTCCTGTTTTTTTTGGGACAAATAAATAGAATCAAAAAGAAAACCTTACAGTAACACCGCCAGTCCAACAATTTATATCTGGGGGCTCACATTTATACCATTGTGAAATGACATGGAGATAAAATGTAGAAAGCATTCCTCACACACTAATCGAAAACAACTAATAAAACAGGGACAGCAGTGCAGTGTTACACTGTGGCTGCTTCATTCACATTCAAGTCCCTCTATTTACACACGTGAGCCACACCATACCGTGACATACATGACCGTGCACTCTTACTGTACCATACCTCTTCATTCCTGCAAGATAGTGTGCTTCTAACCACTTCTCCATGTCGCTTAATGTCTGTTCTGCTCTGCTCTGCAGGGACTGCACCATCACCAGACCATGAGCTTTCACCAGCGCAATGCGCGCCTTTGCTGCATTCTCTGGAAAACACACACACACACACACACACACACACACACACACAGACACACACACGCACACACACACACATATATAGGAACACAAGTATAGAAGCATATTAATGTTTTACATATACATATTACAATGTAATGTAATGTAATGTAAAATGTAACATAAAAATACAAACATGGATACACGTGATGTATATCTCATGTGACACAGTTCTTAGAAAAAAGAGCCACTTAGAATATTGACAGTACATTCATATGATGATTGAATATCTTGTGATATAAAGAAACTAGTGGATCTCTGTGTGTGCATACCCTCATGATCCAGTGCAGCTGCATATTCTTTATGTATTCTGTTTATGACTTCTTGATTCCTGTCCTTCTCCTTCTGCTCTTGCATCTCCCCCTGGTGGGCTTCTGCTGACACCTACACACATATTTAACCCATACATGTCAGGAATAAAAAGAAACATATCTAGTACCTCAATAATATGCTCATGCAAACTCTCACACACAAAGCATTACCAATTGGCTGATTGCTGTGAGTGCCTCCTCATAGTTGGAGATCAGTTTCTCATGGGGTGGCTAGAGTTCACAACGAAAAGAGTCAATATCTCTTACTAGATTATCGCCATATCATCGGTAAAATGTAATGTAAGTGGCGGCGTTTTGTTTGTTGTTTTGAGGTACAATTACACATTTAACTACATTGTTAAGAACGCTAAAACGACCTTGACTGATTCTGGCTCAACCTGGATTTTCGTCTTGGAGTCAGGATGCCTGCGGAGGAGGGGAACACGGGAGAAGAGGAGGAGATTGTTTGTGTGTGAGTATATGTTTGTGCTGGGGAGCATTTGGACTATGAGGAAATGACAGCATCCATTTAATCTTCAAACAGACTGTTGGTAGTGCCTCTCCCTTACAGTTTAGTTTTCTTCTTGTCCTCTCCGTCATTCATCTGACTGTCATTCACACTTCTGCCCGCTGGCTCAGTGCTGGTGGAACAACATAAATCTTTCACTTTCCGCACTCATTATCCATAAACTATTTACAATTTTGTCATTTTGCTATATTATCTTGTTGCAACTTAGTTAAGGTTGCTATTAATAGTGATTTTCCTGCCTCTCGTCCTGGTGCTGAACTTCTGTGTGGTCCAGTAGAGAGATACAATCCAACTTGGAGGGAAGCTCAGGTAGCACCTGTGTGTACATGCTCAAATAATAGACCCTGAGAATACAGAGTGTGTCCTGGAAACGGTCCAACTCTACCTGGACAACACAAACAATCCAACATTATGGTTTTTGCAAGTCAAACTGAAGAAGAACATAAAAGACACACATGCCTTTACGCCAGAAACACAGCAACACAACAAAAGGTGCGACACACACAGAATAGAGGAAGTAGTCTCTACAGCGTGAGTTTATAAACTACTGTTTGTTCAGTCAAATGGTGACACAGAAACAGAACCGTTACCTGCAAGAGTACAGAGTGGTGGTTGACGAGGACGGCAGTGTGTTCCTCCAACCAGCCGTCACCCATGAGATTAGCGCTCTCTTTCTCGTCCTCCTCCTTACGCTTGTCACTAATGTCCCACAGACGTTCGCGCAGTTCCTGTAGACATACCGAAACATCTCCATATATTTAGCATTTAAACTTTTTGAAGCGGGTAAACATGATCAGTTTCAGAATATTTGCATTGTATTATATTATAAGTTGTTCTCACATCCAGCCTCAGCTGTAGCTCTGCTTTGGTATCCTCGTCTTCTCTCATGTCATCAGGTATGCTGTTGAAGTCCTTCTGCCAATGAGACACTAACTCCTGCTTTAATTCTGGACGCCCCAGGTACTGCTTGTACTCCTCTCTACAGATACGTGGAACCAGGTAATACTTACATAGTAATACATGTAATATTTATTTTATTAACATAAATATCCGTCTAATTCTTATCTTATGAACATTTGGGTCATATTCAATTGTATCCAAAAATAACTGTATTCAGAGGCTAAATATAAATACTCAACTTCCATTCTGCATCTGCAGCTGTAAACTAACGTGACAAAACTTAGTATTAAAAGGTTAAAAAGCATCAATTGATTGTAGCTAACAAAATAGTAGTGGCTCTGCAAAAGGTGTATGTTCAAAGGGATTTAATCATCTTCAGTGATAGATATCAAATTAATAAATAAATGGGGAAATGACAGGCACAGAAAGGTGTCCACTAAGCAAATGCTTGGTTATGTGCTTACCTGTACTAACACTACATTAAAGTAGTGATGTTGGATGTTAAACAATACCTGATGTTGAATAGGTGAAGGTTAATAACAGATTGTTGTGAGCGCAGCTGATGCATCACCGGCTTTACGTTGTTCACGTACGAATCGCACACCGTGTCCCAATGGGAAAACAAGGACTCTGGCAGCTCCTGGAGATAGAGATGGGGGGGGGGGAAGGGGGAATGATTAGCAAAGCAGGGGGCATTGGATAGAGGACATCTATTTTCACAGGTCCACAGGCTGAATCATGTTAGAGGGCCGCCCTGTGGCGACCCCCAGTGAGTGCATCTGAATGTCATATATGTGGTCAAATGTCATCGACAAGATTTTTTCAGGAAAGGAAGAGATTAGGAGTGCTCTTCTAACTCTGATGAGCAAAACAAAAATAAAAAGGAGTTGTATCCTACCGGAGAAAGGGGTTCATCCACATAGACCCAGCTGGATGAACCTGGGCAGGGAGAGGCCGACTCCGGTGGGTTCTCGGGGACTCCCTGAGAGTCCTCATTGGTCACTGAGGGAGTTGACACCTTCCTAGATAGCACTATTGATTAACAAGAAGAAAACTATATTAACGTAAAATGATTCATATTCATTAAATATCATTAATAGACATTAATGATTGTCAATAATAACAGTATCATATTATATAATCATATTTAAATCCCCTTAAACAAGTCTGTCAAGTTAGTCGAATGCTATTAAAGCTAGGAACCATAAATGTATGACTTTTTGTTTATATTCAAACAGATCCAAACACTTAATATATCAGTCTGGCACGTTAGAAAACATAAAGTCTGTCTATATCATGTATGTAAAGAATCCACTCGTTCTCAGTTGGAAAACATGTCTTAACCACATCATGATCAGTAGGTATAATTATGAATGTGTAATCCACAGCCTACTGATAAAACCATTGTTGGATTTGGACAGTGACTTCGCACTTTGGGCTTTTTCTTTGTTCAGGCTGAAATCGGACTCTGCGTCGTCGTGCGCTTCGTTTGTGAGGCCCTGAGGTTGGTCTTCAGGTGGAGGTGGAGCTGAAAAGGAGGAGTCCGGATCTTTCCCACTGTCCAACACCACATCGTCACCAGGAAGAGCGGCAAAAGCTGATGAGGCAACATATCTGAATATTGTGAGTAAATATTGCATTTCTTTCAGGGAGGACAAATTGTCTGCTATACATCATTTGAGGTAGAAACAGAGAGAATCTCATCATCAGTGTTTGATAAGAACAAACTTAATCTTACAGCACTATGAAGAAATTGATTCTGAGCGAGACATTGAATACACACAAGACTTTCGCTTAACGCTAAAATGACAACCGGTCACCTTCCTGTGTTTGCATCATAACCCGCTGCAGGACGGACTCCACCCTTTTGTGAAGCTCCTCCTCATCCACATCTGCGTCAACACAGACCAAAATGTTTTGCCTTCCTCCAAACCATTTCTCTAGTTTTGGCCAGGTGTCCTGAAATGCTGTGATCCTTCAGGGGGGGGGGGGGGGGGAGACGATGTTAGATATTTGACAAACAGTCATGCAGTAGCAGTAATGTACTTAATTATTTGATTCTTCTTTTATTTATTTTTTACCTGTGTGGAATCTGTGCCAGATACAAGTTCTTGTCTGTGGGATGGGAGGTTGTAGCAGCAGCATTATCCATTTCTGCACCAGGTTTGGGGCCAAGAGCACCACATAAACACACCAACATATAATTTACATTTGACTGGTTACTCCCCAGCTCAACACACAATGTTTGGGTGAACACGGACACATACCGTTAAACTCGCACTAGTATAACGTACCCGTCTGACTGAACGGACGTCCGACCACACATTCATCAGGGACATCCAGCAGCAGAGCCAGATCCAGTACAGGAGGTGGGGGGGGTGCAGGTTTGGGTGGATTAGGATCAGCAACGAGCTCTGTCCTGCTGCTTACAGCGTCGTTCCCTTCATCTACAGACCCGCCCAGGGCTTTCTCTAGCAGGTAGGCCTGGGTGATGTCCACTGGAAAGCCATCCAGGATCCAACCTGACTGAGCTGGAACCTGCCTATCGAGGACACAAACCATATTTCACTGTCTAGAGAGCGATTGTGGGTTTGCCGTTAGTATCGTTGGGATACTAACTATGTGAAATGAATTGCTTATGTTAAAACTGAGATAAAACAACTCATATAAAGTATTTCACAGCAACACAGGTTGTGTGCTCACCTGATAGCCTCTACCATGATGTCCACTAACAGCTCATTAGGGATGGCGTTGCCTTTCCTCAGCTCTTTTTCTGCAGCTGCTCCCTGCATGGCCCGGGTAGACAGCTGCATAAGCACATGTAAGCAGGTACAAAGAGTTTAGTATTCAATTCTGGAAATAAAATAACAAAAACCTTTATAACTCAACATTTCTAATTATTCCATTCTCCCTACTGTCACCATTATATTAACAAGCAATGGTAATTTTTAATCAGGTTGGTTAGTGATATAAATTGAGTACAGGTTACATTGTCTATAAATAAATACGAAATAGAGTCAGGAGATCATGAACAACACTTACTCTTACAATGCTGTCTCTGCTTTCCTCTTGAGTGTCAAGATCTGAAAAACAATGAGATTATGAGTGACAGGTATCACATCAAACAAGCAGCTGTGTGAAACACGTAATATGCAGTGCATTTTCATCAAAAGCAAAAAAACAACAACAACACTGTAACCCATAGTATAAAACAGCATAACATAGAATCATGCTAGTTCCAGTAACCCACCAGGCGTCGGTGATGTGGAGGATGTGAGCAGTAGTTCGCCGTCTTTCTCTTCCTGCTGCTCTGGGACCTGTACCTGTTGTCCAAAGAGGGATGTTTTTAAATGTTCACGATCATTGAAGGACCTCTTACGGCGTTTACCGGTTTATACACTTCTGGCTCTGGCAGGAGAGACTAGTGAGATTCTTATCTTCCTGAAAAGCCATTTTGAAGCAAAACAATCTGAGAAGATTAAATAAAAAGGGATACTAGTGAAGTTACAATCCTGTTCTACTGTACCTGACTAACCTCCTCTCCATTGTAGTGAGCATTCAGCGCCTTCTCGATCAGTGAGTCAGCTGATAAGACGTAGATGTCATGGGCTGAAGCAGGAAACAACACACACACTCAGCAACAAATAAGCCATCCAATCTAATTCCACATTTCCGCAGTTAGGTGGTGCAAAATTGTGTTTGTGCGTGTGCTTGCATCTGTGTTGGGATTGCATGCCGTGTACCTTCAGCAAGCTTGGCCAGGCAGGTGGTCTTCCCAGAGCAAAACTTGCCCAGGACACAGGCCTTGATGGTATAGTGAGGAAATGGGGGCAGGGAGGGTTCCACGGCGGGTTGATGAACAATGTTCCTCAGTCGCAGGACTACGTGTCCAAGGATGTTGTTGTTGGTCAGGGGCAATTTGGTCTCGCCTGCTTCCTCTGGCCACGCCCACTCACCTACCATGTTCTGACAAACACGACATACGGCTCAGACAAAGAGGACCTTCAGCACTCAAGACAGTTCAGTTCAGGGCTTCAGTTCAGGGCGTGTGGGCAAGCATGATTTAAAAAACACTGCACGCGTGTTTGAAACTCACAGTGTATTCATCATAGTCCTGGTTTTTGAGTATCTCCTGCTTCTCAAGCTCTACGGGGTCTAGTGGGGCAGAGGACTCAAACCCTGGCTGCTGGCACTTTATCGGCTCATAGAGAGGCAGGCCACTGAACAGCAGTTCCTTCCACTCTCTCATCGGCTTCTCTGGAATCAGACTGGACATGACAGCACAAGAAATGACACAAGGCAAAGCTAGATTTAATGAGCGCAAATGTATTCAAAGTAAATCTAATTGTTTTCTTTATTGAGCCTTAAAAATCATCAAACTATTTCAAAATATGTTTAATCCAAACATGAGTAGAAGAGCTGATATGTAATGTATATGTAAGTGAATATTGAGCAGGGTTGTGTGGGCGGTGCGTATCTGTGGAGATTATACATTTGATCGTGAGTATGAGCAGACAGGATGTTGACATCTCCTGATGTTATTTGACCACTGGTCAGTTGCAGAAGAATGTTTCCAATAGTGGTATTTGATGTTTTCGACTCCCATCTTTATTAGAACTGCTGATGAAGCAGAGCTTGTTTTTAAACAACATTAAGTCAGATTTCCGTCTTTTCAATACTTTCCTGAAATGTCTTTTTCAATGTTTTCCCAGAGAAAGAAAGAGAATCGATGAAGCAGGATGAACGATAGCGTCAAACCGATACTGAAAGGACATATTTTGCCACGACTCCTCCCAACTTAGTCTATCTCTTCATCTCTTCAGCTTTCATGCCATCTCACTAACTCTTGTTTCATTTCAGACCCTATAACTCCCTCCTGCTCTGCAATCATCTCATTCCCTTGACCAGATTACACTCTGCCAGATTCTCTAGTGTGCGTTGCTTACCTTTTAACATTTTTTATTCCTGTTTGAACCTTTTCCCATGTCTGCGCACCTTCGATTTTTTTTTCCCTGGTTTTGACCCTTGCGTGTCTTGAGCTAAGTAAAGCTGAAATTTCCTGTTACATTGATTGTTTCTAACACATTTCATATTTTCCTCACGTTCATTAATCCACTGACCATGAGTCACTTTTGGAGGTTTCAAGCCCAAATACTGTGTGCATGTTTCTACTTCTGTATCATTAAAAGCAATATTGTGTCACGTACTTCCCAGTGTGCAGTCGATATTCTCCAACCTTGGTGGCCAAGTCCACTATCTGCTCCAAAATGTCCTTGCAGGTCTGAAAGTGCTTCTTGTATCTGCCCTGAGCTCGCTCAGCAGCAATCCTGTTACAGAATTGAAGCTCCTTTCTGATCTCCTCGGCACGGTCCAACTTAGCCTGCTGAGCCAGAGCCTAGACCAGGCCCCAGCCAGAAAGATGGAGTGAGTGGAAAAGGCATGACATACATGTTGCTGCTAATCACCACAGTGTGCAAGTAATGAAGGAAGATGAAAGATGTTACAGAGGTCATTTATTGTGCAAAACACATGACTACGTGTTTTTGTGGAAAATGATGGAGAAACAAACTAACAGACATCATTTTTTGGAATCAGTACATTATTGATGTTGGAGGTTGCAGAAAAAAAAAGAAAGATTTTTTTTTTTTACCTGCTATATAACTGAATAACTGCTGTTAAACAGCAGACAACAATGAATACAGCTCCCTAGTTTGCTAAAAGACACAATATCAATAATACCCCATTAAAGCTTTCATAAGCATGTACATTTAATCGTCTGATTTTCTCCCTAAATCATCTCTGAAGAAAGACTATTTCACTCTTGGGAGTAAATGGCAAATAACCACAGAAACTGAGACTTAACAGTGCGACAATCTGCCTGAAAAATTAGGACAATAACACTATGACCACACTTCACAACAACATACTGAATATTTAACACTGAAACCATGCTGAACCATGGTTGTATCCTCTGCGAGGCATTGATTTATCCAACTATCTGCCTTCTTTTCAACTACGTCTACTGTACAGGTGTGATCACTTGAAGCCATAACAGATCTGTTATGTCCTTCAAGTTGAAGGACATAACAGATCTGTCTCTAAAGTCCCCCTAGCGCTCTTTCTCTTTATACCCTGTTACAAACTAGCTAAATCCACCCTGCCCTCGCTCTCCCCATGACACTACTCATATTTATCACTGATGCAGCCTAACACAAAGCGACAACAGAGAGAATTATTCTTCTTCCTTATTCATCCTATCTCACCGCCTCCCTCTCCAGAGCTTCCTGGAAGTCCCTCTCTCTCCGCTGCTGGTACTGCTGCTCTCTGAACAGGCGGTTCTTCCGGATCACGTCCTTCTGCACGCGAATCTGGAGGAGCTGGGTCGCCAATCGCTGCTCCTGCTGAGTCTGACGCGTCAGACGCTTCACCAGCTGCTCCTCCCGCTGTGCCTCCTGCAGGGTGAGGTGGTTTTGGGTTAGAAATGATGAATGCCAAATAACAGACTGTGAGGTCAAAGAGAGTAGGATGTGTGAGATTTATTTAAAACATGTTTTTCATATGCTTTTAAAACAACAACTTAAAGTTGCACCTCTTGAGCTTCATGGGCCTTGACCTGCTCGATCAGGAATCTGTCTCGTCTTTTCTCTCTCTGCACGCGAGCTACTGCATTCTCCTCCAGCCTCTGCCGGATATCCTGTATATACTTGCTGTTAGATTGTAATGTCAGCTTGGCTCCACTTCCAGGGACCTCAAAGCCCTGGCTGATGCCACCGATGGGGAAACCCCCAGAGGACGGCTGACCACTAGAATTTAAAAGGTTCAAATCACATTTTCTTTTGTCATTGTCCTAATGTTTGATGATGATGATTTATTAAGCAATACAACACCACTAGTACAAACATTTATACAACATGATACTAAATTTAATATTTGATTTTCTCTCACCTTGAAGAGGAAGCAAAACCATAAGTAACCAGTCTCTTCCTCGTCTCAAACTGGGTTATTTCAGTCTGGACTGTCTGCATACAAAATGAACAGATACCAAAAAAAAACACATTTGTTGTTTGTGTGTGTTGTGAGAAATTCAATTAATTGTTGTCCAACTTGAGGCATGGTTGCCTTATAGGGAGCATTGTACACTGAGGGTCATCAGTTGAAATTCCTACTTAATCTGGAAAATCCCTGGGAAAACCTCTGCAGAGAAATGGATTTTGAATGAATACCTCCCTCTGTAAACAATAACAAGCTATTGGTCTGAAGAAGACTTGTAAGGCTCATTGTCAGCCAGCATCAGCCTCTACAAACTCTGTGGGCACCACTTTATAGCTGACCCTCTGTCAGAAACGTAACTTCCCTCTGTGTGTCGGTAAATGATCACATCATTATCTAATCTGGATCACACCTGCACTTGTTGTTCTCTGCGCTGCTGCTGTTGCCTCCTCTTTAGGTTGAGCTGTGAAGTGTAGGGAGGTGGCTTGGGCACCTGGACAATGGTGGCCTGGTTACAAGTCATGACGTCATTGTGCTTCTGACGACACACCCGCAGCTGCAACATAACCAGTTACCCACTAGTTAGCATGACCTTTCCATTAGTAGTATTATATTATCACCCAAAATGCTGCTGTGTGACATTTGGGACTGAGAAACAATATGTCAAATGTGGATTACAAATCTGAAGACTGCCTTAAAGTTTGGTCATACATTTCACCTTATGTTAAAAGAATACAGGGGAATGTATTGCTATACTGCATGATAATATCCAATATCTCCAGTACCGTCTCAATATTCTTCAGTCTCTTCTCATCCTGGACTCTGAGTTGTCTCCTTTGCTGGATGGAATGGGTCTCAACAAGCCTGTCTTTCAGTTGCTGGCTTTTCTCCTCATAGTGCCGAGAGATTTTCTGTAGCTTCAGCTCTGCTTCATGTTTTACCGCTTGATGCAGTCGCTACGTCAAAACAAAGACGGTAAGATGCTTGAAAACACATGCTTTTGTAGATATTGACGTTGTGTTTGAATTAATAATGTAAACTTTAACCACAAAAATATATGACATTTTGTTTGTACTACTTACATCAGAGTAGATCTCATGCTCTTTTTCGTGAAGGCCAACATTGACTGCAGGCTGCAGGATGTCCATCAACGTGCCGCTGATTTCTGCTGTCTTCTTCTTTTCGAGCGAAACGTACAGTTGGTAGAGGAGGCGTGTGGCAACACCTGGCTTCTCCTGCATCAGTTCCTGTGCTGTGTCTATGTCGAAGGAGATCCCCAGCAACCGGAGAGTAGGCTCAACACGGGTACAATTATTCAGTCTGGAGATGGAGGTGCTATGAAAAAGGTGTGATTAACTTTAATATTCATGAAGACTCTAAATCACAATCAAGTGACAGTTAGCAATTTTTCCGGCAATAAAGAAAGGATAGATATAGCTAGAAAACGAGAGAGTGCAACTTACTCTTTCTTCATAAACATACTGAAATCATTCTGCAACTGATATCTGTGCAGAACCTCCCCAATCAGGTAACCACTGGAGAAATCCCTGGCAAAGGTCTTTGGGTCTGTGAAGAGGAACATGCATGTAACTTATGACCGTTTGTAATTGTATTCGAGTGTCCTTCTGTGGTGTGTTTCTTCTGCACTTCGTCTCGATGCTTTTGATGTTTCAAGTAAAGCACTCTGAATTGCCTTGTTGCTGAAATGTAAATGAACTCGCTTCACCTTGCCTTACGCAAACAGTGACATTTCCAACGTTATGTTGCTTACGACTGAAAACATACTGGACAAACGTTAAAGTACAATACACAAACCTAGCTATGGAGCTAGCTAACAGGTTTTTTTGTTTTTATAAAAATAAGTTCCTACCATTTAAAATGACATGCCTGTGTTGATAAGTTAACAGCTGCTTAGTTAGAATTGTAAATTCACATGCATTTGACCTTTTAGTGTGCCAACGCGACGCTGGACACAGTTATCGGTGACTAACGTCAAACCACCGAGTTAGCATAATTAAGCTAGCAGGTAACTATAATGAGCCACGCTAACGTGAGACAGGCAGTCACTTCAGTCTCACTTACCAACAGCTTTCGACAGCCGGAGCTCCTCGTTCAGCCACCTGCACAATATATCCGACATCTTCTTTCTTCAAAGTTCAACTCAGACTATATAACGTTACTACCGTTACATGAATAGTTGCCGTGTTAGTAGTTAACACTGTGACTCTTTAGCTCGCTAATAACGGCTGAAAAACAAGGAGCGGAGGATGTCCTAGAGGTGCACTGTTGCCATGGTGACACGTACCAACAGGGATGCGTGCTTCGGCGGGGGGGCACTCGTGGGAGTGGGCGGGCTCAGCTGACCGTGGACCAGATTTCTTTTCTGCTCCCAAATTAAAACCATAGGGATGAAATGACTGCAAACTGATCCAGAACCAGTACAATTCCGCACTTCTGAAGGTCAGCAGGGACGAATGTATTTTTAGCAACACGTTACTGCACTAATTAGGGAAGCAAAGAAAATCAAAACATTATTGGACTGAAAAATGTACCCGGCCACAACAGACGGTTATTTAAATGCAGGGTTCATATATATTTTACATTTCGAAGACTTTTCCATTGCTGTGTAACAAATGTTTACAGCCGTACATTCACTGGAACATCTGTGTATATACCTTCTTATATACAGTATATTGTATACATGAAACATAATAAAAGGTTAGGGTCTGACCCCACGCAGAGAACAAACGTTACGTCAAGCGACTTAATCGAGCTGCCAGATCATTAAAGTATTGTTTAATATAGATTTTTCTCAGTCAATCTAAACTGAAATTTGTGGGGCAATATTTACTTTTCAAAACCCTTCAGGGTTCATTTTATGTTTCCAAAACATATCCACGCTTGGAAACTGCTATCTCAAATTCCTTTACTTCTTCAGGTTTTTCAACACCATACCAACCCCTGCACACATCTGCACAGAAGTAGAAAGGAAAACACTGACAAAGTGACAAGTGGCCAGACAGATAACTTTATTGCCTTAAAACAAGTAGCATTTCAATTAGTGTTAACATTCACGTGTGAACTCAGAAGCACTTCACCGTCGGTCAATCAATAGTAAAGTATTCTGCAAAATATCATGGAATTTTAAAGCATTTTTCAGAAAAATGCGCAATACTTTAGTCATGTTGCCATGCACAACATTAGTCTGCGTTAGTGTTTTAAAGCTATCGGGTAACGTAAAGTTTGGAGTTTAAAGGATTTATGAGCCTCTGTTCTCTTAGTAGCATTTTACACAACATGCATCGATTTGTAAAAAACATCTTAGGCCAGAGATGAAGATGTGTAACATAGCAAGCGTACACTGCTGTATGAAGCACAGGATTGTTATGTTCTACAGAGGAAATATTAACTCCAATTAAAAATATGTATGCACAATTGGAAAAAAAAAAAAAAAAAAAGAAGGAAAATTGCATGTCAGCAGTTGCCACATTTGAGCCTGCATGGTGATTATTCTAGTCCTGCTTACAATGCGTCTGGCTATGCGACACTGCAGTGATGAGATCGGGATGCAAAGCAGGCTGAACTACTATAAGAGGACGGGATCACAATTCAAATTCAGTTTTCACAATTTTTCAATTATCATTATACAGTCAAAGTGTGATGCCTCCACATGTCGTAGGACTCTATGCATCTGGTGTCAACACAAACATTCGCCTTTACTCTCTCGAGAAAGCTGGTCGGTCAACGTTGACTGCCTGTTGCAGCCTGGGGAATATCATTCTGTAATGTATAAGGAAATAAATTGACAATTATGTACAGTTGGTTGTATAAAAACAAAGATTTAGAGAAAAATGAAAAGGTGCCGTTTCGTTGATCCAAATCAACATAAAAGCATGTAACACACAGCGTTCATAGGTTGCTCTCCAAAGCCGTGCTTGTTTGAGAAAGCAGACTCCAAAGGAAAACAATCTGCAGGTATATTTAAACTCTCTTTAGCCACCCTTTACCACTGCCTTGAAGTGACCCCTGATCTCACAATGCAGCTGGTTGGTTCACGCTCTACTAAGGCGAAAGGTGTACAATTCTCTCAACTACTTTCCCCCATGATCAGTGTTACAAGACAAAGAGGCGATACATTTCCCCCAGTAGTCAAAGAGGACTGCCTGCCTGTCGTCAGTTCATCAGTGGAGCCATCCATTAAAGTTAGTCATCAATCCTGTCACAGTAGTTTTTACTTAAAGCTTGTTGTCTGGAGGCACTGAGAAACAATAAAACCACATGTCAGCAAGAAACTGGCTCTGAAAAATAGAAAATAAACATCCTGGTTACCGCTGGCTAACCATATCAAAGGTTGTCATCTTTGCATAATGATGCTTTTGGGAAGCCGAGCCAATGGTGCATCCTCAACACCCGCAATGTACATGCGAGTGGAGAGCAAATGGAGTATGTGGAGTCTACTTTGGCTATTAGTGGCCTGTGTTTCACACCATAACGGAGATGCCAAAGTGCTGTCGGGCGAACCGATATTTACAAGGTCATTTCTACACATTTTTGTCAAAAACAAACAAATCAAAAACTAAGTGATAGCATTTCTGGAAATTCTCTATTCATTTCCCTGTGTAAGATTTCTCCACTGTCCCTTTTTCCTGTCACAAAATGTATAAGGAGGCTTCAGGACAAATCTGAAATGAAATAAAAAACAAAAACAAAACAAAAAACCTTAAAATGTATAGCAGACTAAGATCTCCCTAAAAAAAAAAACAAGCACTCAAGCACAGCAAATCAACATCAAATGCATTATCTGCCACCTCTCTGAGCTTGAACATGAAGCGACCAAAGAAAAATAATTTCTCACGAGCACACAAATATAATGTAACCAACGTTTAGATAGTTTCAGCGCTTGCTAAAATCCTTTGTATGCAACACTCAGTGCCAGTGGGAACTGTACGTCCGATAAAATACATTTCTGAACTGCATTATTGTAACATATTCTTTTTTTCATTATACATAAACATTTAGGAGCAAGGCCGACATGGTGCAAATGTCTGGAAGCATTATATTTATCAAGAATCATCCGACACTGTAATAACCCATCCAAGTGATTTCTCATACTTTGTTCAATACCAATCCCCTAACTCGAGGATAACGCGCGACACGTTGCAACATTAAGAAGAAGACACTGGCCTGACTGTGAAATGTATTTCTCAACAAGAAAAAAAAAATTAAAAATACTGCAAAAAACCTTTACTGGTTAAAGAAAGAAACCAACAAAAACAGCCCAAAGTAACATAATAGTGTGTTTGCTAATTGAATTACATTAGTTTTTATTCATGTGCTAGCTTATATCAGTGTATATATCCACGGGGGCTCATCACCCACACAATTCCAGACAGCTCCACTCCTGTATGTTTAAAATAATCACAAGTACATCTTTCAATTTACATCTCACCGTTCAGACAGTGATTTGTGAAAAATAGATCTGTTATGATAGGAGCTACCTTGGTACTGACCCAAGAGAGTGCCACCTATACATACCTCTAAAATCATCTTTTCCTTTCAGTAGCTCATCAACTGTCCAGCTGTCAGCGGACCGGCAGAAGACATGGATGCTGTCTGCTTAGCTACCTTCCACCCAAACCGTTCTTTTGTAGTGTTCTTCCAAAAAGAAAAATAAATGTCCCTTACTTTTACAGATCCGTCATTAGGTTTGAAAACTTCCTGCTTTCAGATTTCTTCTGTAGTGTGGCAAAGTTCACATCGACAAGAAATAAAAACAACTGAAATGCAAGATAAAAACTGGATACAACCAGCTGAAACACAGGATGTGCCATTGCTAAATGCCCATCATGGGGATTAAATATGGGTTGAAAAGAGGTATGACGAAAGAGATTTGCTGTCAGAATAGAAAGGATTTGATATACAAATATACAGGTTTTGATTTATGATATTTGCATGACGGAGAAAATCAACAATATTTCTGTATGTTTGGAATAAACACCTTAAATAGCACGATTGAGCTGCTTCCAAAGTGCAACTGTAAGAATGTAGTGCTACATCAGGGGGGATATTTACCGACACTGTACGGGTGAGGCTTGTTTGATGCATGACACTAGTAACAGCAATGAATCAGAAGGTTTTCTGTTACTCCCCCTCCTCCCCCTCCCCCATCCTCCCCGGCCTGACTGCTAGTAGTGAGCATGAGATGATTTCATGGTTTAGTGGATGATAGCAGGTTGGTGAACCAGGTTGCCGCCGACGATGATCGCCTCTCATCTGCGTGCTCCTCTCCGTCAGGGAGGAGGAACTGAGTGGAAGCAATTGAGGTGGGCGACCCGAGAGAGGGTGCCAGGCCGTCGTTCTCCCCGGCCTCCACGGGGGAGTCCAAATGCCAGGAGCTCTGGGGTTTGTAGCCCCCGGAGCTGGCAGCCTGGGGCTCGAAGAAAGGCTCGGGTGACGCTAGGTCTGTGTCGTCATTTGGGGCTCTAGATTGCATCTGGGGCCGGTAACCTCCTCCTCCTCCTCCTCCTCCTCCTCCTCCTCTGCAGAAGGACAGATCAGCCTGGGGTTGGTGGCCCTCGGAGGAGCCCTGCGGATCCAGCTGGAAGACCAAGGAAGACCCTGAGGTCTGGATCCCCGTGTACGTTACATCGGTGCGCGCCGAATCCAAAGAGGACGCGGAGGAAGACGAGGAGTCTGGGAAGCGCGGCCTTATGGGGCGCTCGTCTACCACGTGGTTGTAGTAGCGCAATGAAGCCGGCTCATCGGTGTCAGCTGGCTCGTCTCCCAGCCCGTCTTCATCCTCTTCCTCTTCGGGAATGACGACGAGTACCTCTTTGCTAGAATCCCACTCGGGCCTCTCCACCATGTGGACCAAACTATGGGGTGATGGCTTCACATCCAGTGGCTCCTGTAAGACACACCGGGTGTTCAAACACTCCACTGAGTAAGTTTCAACGGGAGACGACCACCATCTTCTCACAAGGGACGATCAAAAAATAGGGAACGCTCAATTGTAATTTCTTTAAATAGAATTAGCACTTGATTAGTTTAGTGGTGAGGGTCATATTGAATTAGACTCGTACTGTACCTGTGACCTGGACCAATCGCCGGGCAGCTTGGGCTCGGGTATGTCTGGATAGAACGCCTTTTTCACCCTGGTGACCAAGCAAAATGTTACTTTAAAATAACATCAACTAGAACTACCGTCTCAGGTTGAATGCCTCCAGCAACCAGTCAGACAGACAACCCAAAAAACAGCAGCAAAACACACTCACCATTTCCTTTTCTTGTAGCAAACGAAGGTGACGAAGACCACGAATACGGCTGTGATTCCCATGGAAGCCAAGATTTCCAGTATCAGCCAATCAGCTGTCAGGACAAGACAGTAGGAATAGTACTTATTAGACTTTAAGCAATAGAACATCTATTCATAGGTGCAATATTCTGTAGCCTAAAATAAAAGTAATGGTTGTAGAATAAGCAGTTGGAGCTAGACACACATAACTACACATTCACGTACTGTATGGCTCCAGCGTTATGGAGGCAGTGACGCCTGTGTCCTCGCCTGCTGAGGTGTAGGCCTTGACAGTGAACTTATAGGAGCCTTCAGAGAGGCCTTTTACTGTGTAATACCTGCTTCCTAGGTCCAACAGATTGGCTGTTCAAAGGACAGGGTGAAACGCCACGGAGAGGCGAGGGAAGGAAAGAAAAGGGAGACAAAAAACGAGAGAAATGAGGATGTGCGAGTTCAAACAAGATAAGAAATGCTTTTCGCCGAATGCCATCATGAATCACACATGCATTTGTACACGTTTACCGAGAAGCTTGAGCTCGGAGCCGCTACTGACGTAAATGTTGTAGCCCAGGAGGAAGCCTCTTCTGTCGACCAGCGGGATCTCTCCCCAGGTCAGGAGAATGTTGGAGTTCTGCTGGGTGGTTGACAGGCTGACAGAAGCGGAGGGGACTGTGGGAGACGAGAGGGCGGGAGGAAGCAAGAGTGAACAGAAGAGATGGGTCGGAGCCGGCATAACAGAGAGTCAGCGATCAGAAATGCGATTTCTGAAGTCAATGCTTCCGCTAACACGCCGTGCTGTCCTTACCCAGCTCCTGCATGTATCCCTGCCAGCGCTGCAGCAGCTCTGGTGCCTCCGAGGTGATACTGTACAGGGAGATGTAGTACATCACGCCCGGCTGGAAGTCGGCTGAAGGCAAATATTTAAAACAGGTTTAAAACACTGTCCATGGCCAAAAATAACACGGTACAGTACATTTGAAATATGCTGAAAACATGGAGGCATCGATGCCGGCATAGATGCCGGCATACCTGACTCAACGGAGACGTTGGTGGTTCCGGCGGCCACCTTGATCCACCTCACAGGGCAGTTCCACTTGCAGGAGGCCTCATACCATTCTACCACAGAAGCGCAGGTGGCGTTGTCGTCGCGCTGCCAGAACAGAGGGAAGCCTCCGTCCGTATAAACGGCCCTGGACATGGAACGGGGTTCCACATCTGGAAAGGTGAAAATATGAATACAGCAATGTAGAAACTGTGTGTCTCCATGTTGTTTTATAACATGTAGTAACTGTTGCTTTCAAGAGAGAAAAACAAAATGAAGACTTTGGAGTGGCCTAGTCAAAGTCCCGACCTGAATCCGATTGAGATGCTGTGGCATGACCTTAAAAAGGCGGTTCATGCTCGAAAACCCTCCAATGTGGCTGAATTACAACAATTCTACAAAGATGAGTGGGCCAAAATTCCTCTACAGCGCTGTAAAAGACTCATTGCCAGTTATCGCAAATGCTTGATTGCAGTTGTTGCTGCTAAGGGTGGCCCAACCAGTTATTAGGTTTAGGGGGCAATCACTTTTTCACACAGGGCCATGTAGGTTTGGATTTTTTTTCCCCCTTAATAATAAAAACCTTCATTTAAAAACTGCATTTTGTGTTTACTTGTGTTATCTTTGTCTAATATTTAAATTTGTTTGATGATCTGAAACATTTAAGTGTGACAAACATGCAAAAAAATAAGAAATCAGGAAGGGGGCAAACACTTTTTCACACAACTGTATATATACATACACACTTAAATACACTCCATTTCCACGCACCTGTCAGATGTAGTGGTATATGTACACTTGCAGGTTGAGACACCCCTGCGGCGTTCCTCGCAATGACGGTTGCCGTGACCTTGTCGTCACCGCTGACGGTTGCGATCTGTGTGAGGTTGATTACTACCACAGAAGTATCCGGTAAGAAGAATTCTGTGCGCTGTCGATTTTCCTTGGGGCTCCAGAACGTAACTTCATAACGTGTGATCAGACCATGGCTTTGTCTTTGTGTCAGAGGCTGGAAGAAATCAAGGGAAGGGGAAGGAAGTCAGGAAAACCGGTCAAGAGAGTAAAAGGAGGAAGAGGAAAGAAAGCCAGAGACAAAGCAAAACGATTAAAACAGAAGAACCCTGGCAGGAACTTGCATCGTCTGATTGTGGTCTGTGTGAACATGCTGTAAATCTGTGCTCCCTGCAGTAAAACAAATCATTTGTAAATCTACAATTAAAAACTAGAACAATTCAAGTCAAAGACAAAAAACAAAATAAAACGTACCTTCCAAATGACCTGCGCAGTGTAGTCTTTGTTAATCCACATCCACACATCAAGAGCATCTGGAACTGAGAGAAAAAACATCTGAAAATGAACACTGGCAAAAATCACAGAGCAACAAAGGATGAACACTAAAAATGTAAAATAAATCTCTTGAGCATGAAAGTTTATTATTGATCTTGTAAACAGCAGGGTCCACTTCCTTACGTCCCCATACGAACACCTGCACTCAGTGGGGTTTACAGTAATAAAATGTCTACCTTCTTTTGTTACTAACAAACTGAAAATACTACATTTTAGTTATACTTCAGAGCAATTAGTAATAATTATTTTTAGATTATATCAGCACGTAGCAACATGAATTACTAGCTACAAGTCAATAAACATGAACCTGCTATCACAGGCCAGAAACAATTAGTCGATTGTTGATCGATGCTCAATTTATCATTTCACTTTTTTATCATTAATCAGTTCCAGCTTCTAAAATGTGAGGATTTGCTGATTTTCTTTGTTTTGTTTTAATCAATTTGGGGTTTTGGACAAAACAAGCAATTGGAAGACATCACTTTGGGCTCTGACAACTTGTGATGTGACCTTTTCACTATTTGCAAAACCTTTATAGACAAAACCATTATTCAAAGACTTGAAATCTGAAAATGAAAGAGTCACCACAAACAAACCCTTTACCATAAGTGTTGGTTTTGAAGGAAAGCGGCTTGCTCCAGCTTCCCCAATTCCAGAAATTCTGCTGGGCACCACAGCGGACTTGAACGCTGTAATCCTCATCGGGGTCGAGGTCTGACAGGACCACCGACCGCAGGCCCAGACCGGAGAAGGTACGCTGGACACACGAGGATGAGATTTCGTTACTGTCTGGTACATCGACGGGTCGCACCCGTGGAGAGAACATGCTGATAGAAGCGTGCGTTCGTAGAGAGTGATGCGGTTGGTCGTTAGCGGGTTGTAATGGATATGTGGTAGAACAATGGAAGTGATCCGTCTGACTGGCATATGCACCAAAGAAAAACCGGACAGTGGTCTTCCCCTGCAACACACAAACATTAGCATGAACGCAGACAACTTACCTTTGTTTTGTACCCTTGGGAGGAGAGCTCTACCTGGCAGTCAAGAGCCAGAGAGGAATAGATGTTGTACTTCCACTGCCACAGCACAGTGGTGTTCCAGGCATGGACAGCAGAGTTCAGGCTCTCTGGTGCTACCGGACGCACTGAGGAGAAAGGGTGAAACAACAATCAGTGTGCTGGATGTTGTTTTTTTATTTTTATGTCCATGTTTACCTTTAATTTAAAAAGAAAAATGCTATAAATTCTTCCGTTGAGCGTGAAACAGCTACCTCTGTGCCTGAGCTCAGCAGAGTCAGTGAGGACGTGCCGGCCGAGAGGATTCGCGGCTACCAGGGTCCAGTTACCCTCCCACTGGGCCACACGCCACTCGTCATGCTTCTTCTGCATCCTGCTAAAATCACATTTCCTGCAAAGAAAAAAAATAATAAAGAACAGATTAAAATAAAATAAAGAGCAGATTAAAATAAAATAAAGAGCAGATTCCGTAAGAATGTGAAAATCAAAACAATTTCATTTAATGGAAAATAAAATGTAACCACTTCACATAACCTCACAGGCACAAACACACTCATAATGTAACTCGTCTTCAAGCCAGCCGTCTGACGGTTCCTGTAAAAGGTCTGGCAGACAGCCAATACACTATCAATGTTAAATGGACACACACACAAGTAGCAAGTGGTTACTTAGACTAAGTGCATTATCTCTCTCTCTCTCTCTCTCTCTCTCTCTCTCTCTCTCTCTCTCAGCTGTTTTTTTTTTTTTTTTTCTGGGCTGAAAACAATTTTTTAGAGAAAGGCAATCATAAATAATGCGGGATCATTTCTCAGAAGAAAAGTGACATTAAACCACATCCTGGCTTGTCAATGTCATTCCATCTCTACCGCCTCTGTGTCCTGGACCATTAGTCAGGTACAGAGACAACAGAACGTTTAGGTTTGTTTTTTTCCCAATGTGTCCACAACCGTGAACATATCTTACAGACTTTTCACACGTAACCTGTTTCGTTGCCGTTTGTTGCTTCGTTTATGTGGCGATTTACGTGACGCGGACGCAATTGACTGTTGGTTTGGCTGGTTATAGCCACAGGATTTTGTGATAGCAGATATGCGAGTTTAGCATGACTATTAAAAAGCTACTCTCATGTTTAATTAATATAGGACCCTAGCCCTATTTTTAGGCCTCTGCTCGAAAATTGCATACCCATACTCAAGAGAGTCCCCAGCTCTAACTACAAGGTCTATTTTAATAATTTTGATGCTAGAATACTGGTAACACTTGTGAGATGTGTTGAATTGTGTAAATATTGTGTATATGTTACTGGTTAATAACTGATACACTTATGGCACAGCTCAAATTGAAAAATTTCTAGGTTCGCCTGAAAAAAAGCACTTGTATTGAACTTTTTTTTTTTTAAATAATGCAACTGCAAGCCTAAAAATACACCACAGACATAGAACAACACGTTTTACATGTCCCCACAACATATTTTACTTCGATTGAGTGAAGCAGGCCAGCATAAACGGTCTTAAAAATCAAAATTTTGATTTTCGGAAACCAGCTGTTGCATTGCTGTATACTAATTTTATATAATATATAACTAAATGTTAACTATATATTCACTTTTCTTATCACTAAGAGTGTTCAATAATCCTAATAAATCAGTTTGACACCATTTTGAATAATTTTGAGCAGTTATGATGTGTCATATCTGTCATTCATAACAATAAATGGCTCATAATGTGTGTCTATGTGACCCTGGTAAGGCCTGTGATTGTCCGATTTACTCGCGTGAGAGCTTTTTAGATGCGGGATAGTCCAACGGGAGCCATGCGGGGGTGTTTGATCGTATCCGAGTCTGTTTACTGACTAAAAATCACAAAATGCAGGGCGAACCCCCCTCTCTACATGGATTGCTCCACCTCAGAGAATCGTCTGCCATTTTGTGATTCATTCCGCCAGCGCATTGATCTCACTCACAGACATGCAGCACAAGATGGAGGAACTAGCTGTGCCGAAATCGGCTGGAATAAATCCGTTTTACATCACCAAAACGTAAGTTTTTTTACCCAATTGTGTTTCACGTGACTTGTGGCTGATGTTGGCATATATACCCATAACTTTTGAACGGTTTGAAAGAGAGTAATTTCGACGACGCTGTTCGTCTCCGGGTCGAATCACGCCCCTCCTGCATGTCTTCATCCGCCATGTGCGGTCCCTGCTTCGTGATCAGAGAGCCATAGAGAGAGCATAGGTCGTCGATTTTTGGCGAAAATTGTGGCAAATCTTCTAGATATCTTCCAGATATGATACTAGTTCATGTATAATTGTGTTTGCAGTGTTTACAATGGCTGGTATGATGATGTTGCTAGGACTTTTCCCGTTAATTCAATATTTAATATGTCTGGAGCAATAATCATATTTCTTTATGAAAAATGCTTTCTACGACACGCTCAATGCTACACACTCTAAAACAGCCCCCCGTGGGGGGCTCTCGGGTCCTATGGGTTCACTTTTTGCTGTTATGAAACAGATCTCCGAATCAGTGATGTGTCGAGCTTGTGTCCTACTCCATGGATTTTAGCATCTGCAGCCTGCTTTTTGTGTCTGAGTGTGTTGCAGTTCTGCTACTCGACCCCAAGCCCTACGGTTTCCACCACAGCACAAGGTTTCAGGTCAGGTTACAGCCATCTTGCTGAGTTTTATTGTGACTGTGGTACCTGTTGTTCAGCGTGTAGCTTGTGCTTCGTTTGCCGTACAGGCGTGTGTCTCGTCCTTCGTTCCACTGGCACACAGCTGAGATTAAGTCATGAGTCTCGCACACAAAGTCACTGGGCAGTGGTGGATCTGGGGAAGGGGACAACGTGTAGACACTCAATGGCATAATCATGTACACACAGAAATAAAGTTCACATAGACAGAAATAACTACCAGGAATTTATTCTAAATATCTCAGCCGCAACATCATATTTACTTCTGTGCCGACTCCCTCTCTCTCTGTCACTCCATGCACATTCACCCATCTTCCATATGACGACCATTCACACTTCAGTTCTTATCCGAACAGTAAATCCCCTTACATCCGACAAACACCACCGATCCCCAAGGGTCCGACTTCAGCTTGTCGTTACAGATGACGTTGGTTCCCGTCTGGCGGGAGAGTCCCTGATTCACAGCCGTAACAGCGTAACTTCGCCTACTCAGTCGCGTCTCGTGCATGACCGTGTTGCCGTATTTGATGGTACCGAACTGCTTCCCCTCCGCCATAATGCAACAGAAGGTGGTGTTGGCCCCCACAGGTACGATTCTGTCCTGGGGTAACACCTGGATTTTCTCATTGCTGGGGAGATCGCTTCCTAAATAGACAGAGCGAGGAAGGGAGAAGTGAGACAAAAGGGGAGAGGGCGATATAAATAGAGATCTATATTTGTTTTGGCTTAAGGAAGAGATTTCAAAGAGAAAAATAATTGAAATGATCATCCCAAATTGACAGGTCAGGCAATGCAGCCTCTATGTTTCTCTAATTATCGCTGTCCTATGATGTATACGGGTGTAAATATTGCCCCCCCCTGACCTTGAAGTATCTGAGTGTTGCTCCAGTCACTCGTCGTCTCTCTGTCTCGTGAGCGGATTCTGACGGACAGCGATGTGCACTCCAGGGGTTCGACTGAGGTCCAGTCCCACTGGTGCCGTCCGCTCTCCTGATTCACCGTCACGGACACCGTGTCCTGCAGGCAATACACCGTGAGGGGCAGATGAAACATGAAGCGGGTGGACGATCGCTGGTGATCACAGTCGTAGCTCGAGCAGGAAAATATTTATTACTGTACTGAATTATCATGCCAATTAAGCTACGAAAGCAAAATGTGCGGCCAAATAAACTAAATATAATGGCCAATATGAGGTCATTGCAGACATGTCTGGTACCAACATATATCAGCCAATTAATGAGGATTATTATGTTGTTGTGGGTGGCATAACATCTATATTAGAGGATATATTATTATTAGATTTTTAAAACTCTCAAATATCAACAGGTCGGGCTAAAGCTCCTCTCACATGAGAATGACACCGACTTGTAGCACAGCTGTGCAATGAGAGAAGCACAAGAACGAATGAAATGAAAGAGAAGTGCTCTTACGTAGAAGACAGTTATATTGAATTCAGTTCTCAGAATCAGGAGGTCGAAGGTTGCCGCTGCTCCTCCCAGCCAGGATATGGACAGTTGCTGTGTAGACCTGTTAGCTGACAGGCTCACCTGCTGGGGTACAGTAAGGACTAGAAGAAGAAAAAAAAGAAGATCGGGACAACAATAAGGGATTTAAATGGTTTTAGTATCAGACCTGTAGAAACAGAGAGCCAACCTTTCCACGCGGACCAGCTACGTTACATACACAGCATTCAACATCACGCTGCATTGACAAGTTTTCCCTGCGTGTAGTTCGGCCCTTACCATCTATGACATGTACAGCCGTGAGGCCCAGGAGGACACAGGTGAGCCACAGAGGGCTCCAGTTAGGCTTTGAGCGAGGCATGGCGGTCAACTGGCCGAGTCCCTGTCTGCAGATCCTGAGGTGGTGGTCCTCTCCACTATAGCAACACCGTGCTAGACATTTAAGAGGCAAGACACAGACGCAGGGTGCCCTGTGGGAAAAGACAGCATAGAAGAGAGGAAAAAGATTAAACTCCTGTCCTGAAGACTGTCAACACTCAGGTTGTTGTTGTGGCGTCGTGGTGAGGGCGGGTGATGTGAAACTATGAAGTTGGGGTCACGCAAACACAATGTGTTTATTTTGTGGAATATTCTGTCGGCGTGCACGCGGTAATCTCATTAAATGTTTCAAGGTTTGGATAGTTTGCTCGTATCAATGAGCGGTTTGTGGGGAAGAGCTGCATTCTGTTGCAGCATTCTTGAATGCCTGCAATGATTCCCTGCCAACTCCCAATTGTTGTACGAATGTATGCCAAAGTCAGAGGCACAGCTGCCAGGAAAATCCAACACCAGCACAAGAAAACACATCTCTCAGGCAGCTGCTTTCAGGCCAGATGTGGAAACACACAAGTAAGACAATGCTGTTTATACAAAGCGTGCCCGTGTTCCTTATCCAGTTTCCCTGTTCTAAAGTAGACTGTAAGAAGTGGACGTAGTCACCGTGACCTCACCTATTGGTTTGTGTACTACGATTTTGAGGCTTCGATTTTGGCCGTCGCCATCTTGTTTTTTTGCAAAAGTGATACGAGAGGGTGGAGCTAAGTACGACCAAATGCTGAATGAGACAGTTTTAAGTTACAATTCACTTTTTTAAGAGCTGAAAACACTCTGTGAAAGGGTTAAAGTTGTAACACAAAAACTTCCCGACCGAGCAAAGCTGTGGTAGAGACCTGTCAATTACAAGGTAGCCCCGCCCTAAAGCATTCCCTGCTCTATGGTCTATTTAACTCTAAATGTGACCACCACTTAATAAATGAACATCATGCTGTATTGAAACTAGAGATTGAGACCATAAACTCTGAGGGAATAAATCAAGAGAGAAGTAGAGTCATTTTCTCATAGACTTCTATACAATCAGACTTCTTTTTGCAACCACCCTGCTGGCCATTTGAAAGAATGAGAGTTTAAGGCACTTCTGCATTGGCTTCACTTTGCATACACGGAGGTTGTCGCCTGGTACTAGAAGACTTGGTCTTGATGATGATCTACAAACAACTGCTACTATCTACTAGTATTGGTTGTTTCTGACGTTTTACAGACGAAAGGATTAACCAAAAATATTCAGCAGATTAATCTTCAACGATAATAATCATTAGTTTCAGCCCTTGTAAAGAATATGATCAAAATCTTGCCATGCAATAATTTTGTAATGTAATGTGGAACCAACAAAATCACATTAAAAAGTGACCAGAACAAGATACAAAGTCTTTCAGATCGCCATTGGTTTACTGCAAAAACATCTCGGTAGGGAATACAAAGTCGGGTCAATGTCCAACCTGTAGTGCATGTGACCGCTGTTCTCTACAAATAGAAAGACAAGATGCCCGATTACACCACAAAATAACATGTTGCAATGAATGAGCCTCGGGCTTGATGAGTCTGGGTGTGAATGTTCAGTGTCAATTGAACAATGTTCAGTGTTAATTCTCTGTTATTGTGTGTTTAACTGTGAACGAGAAGCTGCAGTGCAGTTTGTCTGGTTTCCCCACTGGGACAGGCTGGCACAGGCCTCGAACAGCTCGGTAGCTCGATAAAACAATGCTCTCAAGTGCCGCCATGCCCATTACTGCCACAACACGACCTCAACGCAAGGATACACACACAGACGCACCAGCAAAGTCCGTTTTTGGATAACTAAACAAAAGAGTCTCACCATCCCAAACACAAAGCATCTTTGGCAAACAGACAAGTCAGATTCTGGTAATAGATAAGTTGCAGTGAGCAAAACAAGCTGCTACAGCTGCCACAGGCTGCCAGTGTACGGTGAAAAACAAAATACTGGTTTCAGGGAAGAGAAAGCTTACATTACGGGAAAGGAGGACAGACACACATTTTTTGTTTTTAGCCTGCTTATCTAACTAAACTGCTCAGAGTTTCATTCCAAACCACCAGTTGTTTTGGTTTCATTTCTATCAAGACTCTGGGGACAGAATGCAGATACAGAGACAGCTAAATGACAGAACACGGCCTGTTTATGAAGTCTAAAGGAACATCTTGAGAATCCTTTATGTGGTCCACTATGGCCTTTTTCTTTCCTTTCAGACCACTTCGCAGCAGTGGGAGTGAGGGAGGAGTTTCAAACCTGGAATGTGACTCTACTGCCGGCTCCTAAAGCGGTTTCACATATGGTCTTAAAAGAGCAAATTAAACCTAAACGCATGAACTTGAAGGCCACGTCCATTGAGGTTCCTGTTTTCAATGCAAATTTGTATTTATTTTTTTATGCTAGTGTAATAGCCGGCGGCCTGCTGCTGCTATTAATACTGTGTAAATACTGCAGAGCCTCTATCTAGCAACTTGGCTATTTCTGTAGCCAAAGAACACACGAAACTATCACTACTCTCAGTGCGACTTCTTTACTTCGACGTGGGTAACAAGGAAATTTGGCTGAGGGGGGGTTTTAAAAGTCTTCTGGCGTGTTGCTGTCTTCAAAAACCTCACCTCCAGATGAAATTCAGAGGCATGGCTCAACATAAATACAGCTGTGTGTGGAGTCAATGTTTCACACACACGTGTGTGTGTGTGTGTGTGAGAACCAAAAAAGGGCTTCTGAGCCCGTTGCAGTGCCGAGCGGGTCCCCACATGAAGAGAGCAGTCCTGGATCCTAGCGATTTTTCCAACTTCAGCACCAGACTGAAACATTTAACAACCTCCAATATATACTAATAACGTCTGAGCCTGCAAAAAAAGAGAAAAAGATACATAGTGCACTGATGGGAAGTGGGGGGGCACATTTTCTGGGAAATCTCTCCAAGAAACTGATAGCTACAAATGCACACAAACACGCAAATCAATATTTCTCTGCTGGGCTCTGATCCTTGTCCTTGTAGTGGTAATAAATGTGACCACACACTACAAAAAAATAAAACCACAAGGAGGGTGCTGTTACTTAAAAACCCAAGGCCAGACCTCATCCGTACACCTGCAGTGGTTCTATTTTAGGAAAGAAAAGCCTCACCTAACTAACTCCGCCTCGTTCCACACTGGACTTTGCCACTGTTCTGTTTGACCATTCAGCTGTGCGGGGCAGCCTTTCGGAGTAAGCCGTGGAAAATGGCACACAGAATATACTGCGGACGACTGACCGCCCTGTGATGCAATCGTTTCTCGGAACCTGAAATTTGCTCAGTGGAAAGGCCTCGTTTGTCCCCCGTTCTTTCCACAGTAGCTAAACTCTGGTCGTCAAATACTGAACACTCTCAGTCAGGACGTGCAACACACAGTCCAGCATTTAGTCAGGGATTGTGCAAGTCACAAAACAATCACGGTGACTGCTGAGTGCATATACGATGCATGTTTGCTTTGACCTGGAATTAATGGTCAATTAATCTATTGATATTTTTGAGGGGGAAAAAAGTCAGTTATTTACATTTTGTCGACCTATTTATTGATGAAACAGTAGTTTCAGTCTAAAAGACATCCTGAAGTTAAGTTTAAAGTGGAATGTTAATCCCGCTGCAGCAAAAACCCGGACAAAAATAAAAAAAGAATTGAAGCCGCAGCCAAATTTACTCCGACATACCTCAGCTTTTCATATGCACTGTGCCGCGGGGCAGTAGTAGAGATTTTATACTTACACAATAAACACAGCCACCAACCTTTCAGCACCTCACTATCGCAACCACTTTTTTTAAACTAAGAATAAAACCTCTGTTTATATACTGTTGTCTTTACTAAAACCGTGTGGGGTGGCAGCTGAAGCCGAACTGTATGTTCTCGGCCTACACTCAGCGACGCTGTCATACGATGACCACCGCGGCCAGAAGAAATAAGCACACAGTGCCTCTAGTGTACTATAGAAGTGCGGTGACGTTTTGAAACATGAGCTAAAGTGGCTGCTGATTATGTTTGACCCTTGGATGGGACGAGAGAGAGAGAGAGAAGACCGGATGCAAGTGAAAAGTGGAGAGTTAACGGGTGAGTGTGTGCTCTGACCTCAGTGGAGAGGGGACATTCATTCCTGTGTGTGTGTGTGCCGTTTCCTTCCTTCCTTGCCTTTCCCTCTAATCCTTAATGAATGTAAATCTTGAAAGCAACAGGAAGTGAGTAAAAAAAATAAAAAAAACTGAAAAGTCACTTGAGAAGTACACAATTTGCTTTTATATTATTTTGCTTTTTCAATGACTGTCTTAAGATAATAAAACTACCCCCCACACACACACACACACACCGGGAGTCAAAATCATTCCAGTCCAACCCTGGGAGAAATCCACAAACCAGTCTGACCCTTTTTAGCACAGACACAACCAAGAGAGAACACGCAAACAGGGCGGCCATTGTCCTGCAAGGTACAAGTCGGCGCCTTCTAATCACAGTTTATTATGACTAATGTTCAGTGTTTCATGCATTGAGTAATACTGCGATGAGCTAACAATTTTTATGTTGTGTCCTGTTCCCAGTGTTTTTTTACAGAATAAATCTGCCTTAGTCCAATATGAGGATGAATTGCATAAAAACGTACTACCTGTTTTTTTACAATTCATCCTCATATTGGACTAAGGCAGATTTATTCTGTAAAAAAACAGAATAAATCTGTTTTTTAAATCAGTTTGTGTTGTGTCCTGTTCCCAGGACAGAACACAAACAACTGTTCTTCCTTATAATACTGAAGGGTGACAGCTGTTTAGGAATGATTGCTAAGACACCGTAACTGTCTCCTTTTTATTATTATTTTTCTGTTTTAAAAAAGTGGTACAGTTCTAAAAAAGACCTCATTAAAACATATTAAAATAATTAGTATGTACTGTAAAGGTAGCCAACTATTGAGTAGGGTATGTTAAATGATGTAATCTAGATTAGAGATCATTTCTCCACCTAGTTCTCTGTGTCGGAACACACTTTATGTGTACAGCTAGAAGAACAGCTCGTCTTGTGTGCATGCAGACCGCACACCATAGGGTAACATGGTCCTGATCGGTTTGAGACCAAGAGAGCGAGAGCAAACAGCCTATGATCTATGCTGTAGCATTCAAAATATTAAAACATGATCATTGAAAATGAGTTGATCTGAACAAAACAACCATGATGACGAAAACAATTCCGTTGTCATACTGTCACATCACAACTTTGGGGTCCCGACTAACGTGACACAAGCATAATAATAGTAGACGGGCCTGTTTACTCAACACTTATTAGCTGTTTATATGTAATGGCTAATTTTTTTTTCCAATTCTGATTAAGGTCCTCCAGAAAAAAAAAAGTGGCGAATACAGCAGGTATCCCAAAGTGCATCATCACAAAACAGTTTGCATCATTAGCATTAGCAACTGGGCAGCATGATGGGTAACGTCTTATCGTAAACATCGAACAGACGGTGATAACACTTGGTTAGCCATCATTTCAACAACATCTTATCAAAGGAGGCAGTGTACTTAAATTGTACGGGCTGGGTTAAATGATAAAAAAAAATAATTAAAATTCACTTGTCAGCCAGCACCCCACCACACACACGCAGAAGAGGCCACTGGTGTTTGGAAAAACACGGCTACCGTTAGCTTCAGTAATGTTAGCTGTCATCTACGGACTCCCGTTAAAAGTTCACAAATAACACAACAATTACCTCTGATGTAGCAAGAAATCCTTTTCAGTGCTGTTGAATATGTCGGCTAAATATATCCAATATTCAAGTTCTTAAAATCCTGCCGCCGTGCTGGTCTCCGCTGCTGTGTAGTAAAACCTATGAGTAAAACCATTCCCAATGAATCCAGAGGAGGCTGGGATTACTGGAATAGAGCGAACCAGGCGTTTGATTGACACTTGTGCTGACCAATGGGCTTCCACTATACGATTTTTTCACTTGGGAGAGGGCGTAGTCCTGCCGCATTAAAGTCATACCGGAAAGACGGTTCCATAAATAAGAGTCACGACACCAGTCCAAACCTCTCGTCAGGACTCTGCTGGAGACGATTTTACCGATTGTGTGGTTTCCAATGCCAGAGGCGTTAACTAGAGTAATGTGAAAGTAAGCGTGGGGATGCTCATTTGCAATACAACGACCCCCTGTAATTATTTCTAACATGTGATGTAAACTTTTCTATGCCGTAACACGTTACATCTAAATGCACCTCTTGACCAATTATTGATTGTAATACCTACACAATAAACTACACAATGATGAATTTGACCCAAAGAATTCAGCCAAATAATTACGGAATATATAATCAGGGCTTGATGGGGGTCCGTGTACGTTTTAGTCATCTGTTTTACCAAAGAACCAGTCAAATAACGAGCCGTATTTCGTTTTTGCAAATCCCTTTTTTGTTTTTTCCTTTAAAACGAGACGAAGAGCGCAACAGGTAACCCGGAAACAAGATTATTTCAAAATAAAAGTGAAGGCAATATAATGACCGTATGCAAGAAATTAATAAATAAATAAATCTTGGCTGATGGGAGTGTGTTAGCATCAGTAGTTGACTACATGCTGTTTAATATTCATTTATCAATGTACGCAGCAATAATCAACTTTCCGATTAATCGGTGCATTGTTTGATGCAATACAGTTCGTGATATAGTTTAATCAAAGTCTTTTTTGTGTTCACGGAAATGTTGCTGTTGGCACTGATATTTATTTGTTGCTGTTCGCACTGATATTTCTTTGTCCACTGTATTGTGTTGATTTAGTGAACGCAGAGTGTAGCCGGTAAGGACACGCAAAGTAAATGTTCACCCGTTCTACCACTAGATGGCAGTATAAGTGTATTTAAACCATCAATTTAGTCATATTTACCTGTGCTTTTGTTAATTATCTAGGTTATTATTATCGCCTACAGAGCCAACAGGTCTGTAGGCGATGCAGTCAACTTGGCCCTTCATTTCATCCTCCAGCATCTGGACTCCCCAGGAACCTACGCCAGGATCCTGTTTGTGGACTTCAGCTCTGCCTTCAACACCATCATCCCGTCTTTGCTGCAGGACAAGCTCTCCCAGCTGCACGTGCCCGACTCCACCTGAAAGTGGTTACAGACTTCCTGTGTGACAGGAAGCAGCACGTCAAGCTGGGAAAGCATGTCTCAGCCTCTCGGACCATCAGCACTGGTACGCTGCAGCCACGGACAAGGGCAGGCTGCAGCGCATCATTCGCTCTGCTGAGAGGGTGATTGTCTGCAACCTGCCGTCCCTCCAGGACTTGTTCACTTCAAGAACCCTGAAGCGAGCAAGAACGATTGTAGCCGACCCCTCTCACCCTGGACAACAACTGTTTGTGCCCTTTCCATCTGGCAGGAGGCTGAGGTCCATCAGGACCAAGACCTCACGACACATGAACAGTTTCTTCCCGTCGGCAGTCGGGCTCATTAACAGAGCCCGGGACCCCCACTGACTCTGTCATCCCCAGGACAATTTCCTACCGGTCACTCCCCTGCACATCCCTTCTATTACACTCGACACTTTTACACTACACTTACATCTCACTTGTTTATAGTCCTGTTATCTGTTCGTTTGTGCACTTTATTTTATATTTCACTTTATTTTATGTTCCACTTTATTTTATATTTTTCTGTAAATTTTAATATGTTTCTACTTTGCACTGTTGATTGTTGTTAAATGTTAAATTCTGTGTCTGCCAATATTTCCAAATCAAAAAAGAATTTAAAAAGACACACTAAGGAGTGATGCTAGTGGTGTAAAACAGATGGATATTCAATTAAATTAAATTAATTTTTGTATAGCCCAAAATCACAAATTACAAATTTGCCTCAGAGGGCTTTACAATATGTACACATTTGACATCGTCTTGTCCCAGGACCCTCACATCGGAACAGGAAAAACTCCCCCAAAAAAAACCTTTAACGGGGTAAAAAAAGGAAGAGACCTGTGGGAGAGCAACAGAGGAGGGATCCCTCTCCCATGATGGACAGAAGTCAATAGATGTCATGTGTAGAACAGCATAACAGAATTACAACAAATTAAATGAGACAGAAAGTTATGAGACTATGAGATTCAAAGTTATGAGATTCAAAGTTACGAGATTCAAAGTTAAAGATTGATAGAAAGTCTAGAACATGAAGGATAACAGAATCTATAACTGTAGGATGGTCTTAAAATGCAAAACATTTGCTAAAATTATTGCTGGAATAAACAAGTGTGCTCACTTTAAAACATATTGGCTGTGAATGAAAACAAAATACATAACACACATGTGACAACACATTGGTGGGCATCACACTCACAACATGTTATCTTTGTGCTAGCTCAAATGCACATGTAGCGCAGACGGACACCAATTCCATACAGCACTAAACATCGAAAATAAACATTATTTTCGGTACAGTACACGCACATTAAATGTTCTCGAACATGAAGGATAACATAAACTATAACTGTAGGATTGTCTTAAAATGCTAAACGTTATTAGCCTTGCAGTTCTCTCCTGAACGCGTAGTCACTCGAAAAGAAGGATTTCACATTCCATTCGCTCTTCACGTCCCGCTAACACATTGGTGGGCATCACACTCACAACATGTTATCTTTGTGCTAATCACCATATGTTGTTTTGCGAGGAGCATGCATCAGACTCGCAGATTAAAATTTCCACTATTCCCAGTCCAACGACAGCGGCGGTGCCAAGAAACACTCCTGCGATCAGTAGACCTTTGGCACAGCGAAACCACCAACTTCTGGTCTGAGTCTCAGCAGCTGGAGCTGGCAAGAGGCTCTCTTCAGGACAAATCTCATGATTCTCATCAAGCTGCCCAAGGTCATTCATTTGGACCAACATGACAACTTTGTCATGCTCAGCCACCTTTGGCTGCTGTTCAACGTCATTAAGTTGGACCGACTTGACATTGTCATGCTCAGCCACCTTTG